ACATGATAGCCTGTAAGATATTCAACATATACAAAGTAATCTAATATAGTTTGTTTTAGCGTTGTGTAGAAAAAGTTAAATTTTTTACATCCTTTACATGACAACCCACACACAAATATATATGTATAAATAATATATTATGTATGTATATATATAATATTTATATACGTGTATATATATATATATATATATATATATATATATATATATATATATATATATATATATATATATATATATATATATATATATACAGAATATAAGAATATAAGACATTCGAGTCGTCTGAGGACGCCATTCACACGTGAAATGATCCGCCATAAATTCATCAGTTTAAAATGAACGTAATGTTCCTACTGCCAAAAGACTTTTTTCTCGCCTTGTACCTGGCCGAAGGATGCGGTAAAGAAAAAGCGTGTGCACTCGCTGACCTGGTTCACGGTTTGCCGGTAAATAAATCAGCCGGTAACTGTAGTGGATCGGGCTATTCACGCCCGTGTTTTATTGCCCCCCCCCCCCCCCCCCAACTACAAGAGGGGAGACTTTTCTCAGGCAGCTTGTAGTTTAGTATCAGGGAGATGGGTACCGGTGCCAACATCAGACGAGGGGGGGGGGGGAGTAACGCCATCTCGTCCGTCACATCGAGACAAAGTACGCACTTCCGGTGTCCGTGACCGGTCCGGATTTACACGCCAAACAGGCCGATAGTTCAGGGAAGGTGTAGGGGCGTTTTCTGGTCATGGTGGTGTGTGTGTGTGTGGGGGGGGGGATTTCGTATGCTGGGGGTAGCGGGTACTGTGTAGACTTAAGTAGTTAGTTAGTATGCTGTAAGCGTTTTAGTTCTGACAACATTTATACGGCGATGTGGAGGGCATTCCGAAATGGTGGAAGAATTTGGTTGGGAAAAAAAATGCTGAACACATATAGCGTTTAGGTTTTGTTCGAGGAAATTTATTTGAAATTTGGGCTGAAACTCGATGTGCGCACATTGTAGGAGTGGGTTACTAAAGGGTTAATGGGACTGCCTAGTCAAGACACTGATAATTAGGTAATTAGGTAATTTGTAACTATGTTTCCGAGGTTCGAATCCTCATGACGTCACAGGGTCCATCAATTTTTGATTGTTGATTACGATAAAGAAAATATGATTATAATATTAAACATTGACGGTTAGAGTCTATCGATTTGATGCATATACAGACACTTTAATTAGGTTATGTAGATTTCTGTACTAGATCTAGTCAAGTCTTTAAACCACCAACAGAAGAGGTATGGTTATCAAATCTACAACCACAACCACCACCACCATCAAATCTACCACCACAACCACCATCAAATGTACCACCACCACCAACAACAACATAATTCGTGCGATTATCAAACCTACCACCACCACCACCATCAAATCTACCACCACCACCACCATCAAATGTACCACAACCACCACCACCACCAATATAAGTCGTGCTATTATCAAATCTACCACCACCACCACCACCATCAAATCTACCACCACCACCACCACCATAAGGGGTGTGATTATAACGTGTTGTGACTTTATGAGCTGTCTGAAGGCTATGACGTGACACTGACGCGAGCCGAGGGGAAGAAAAACAGGCACGCGTCAGTGACGCTATCAGCGGGGTTAACTCATTAAGTGACGTCAGTGATAGCGGCACTGTAAGGGTTAACACGGGAGTAGGCAGCTGAGGTGTTACGGGTGAAGAGTGGTGTTAGGTGTACATGGTGGTATATGTGAGGATGGTGTTATGTGTACATGGTGGTATGTGTACATGGTGGTGTGTAAGGAGGGTGTTATGTGTAGATGATGGTATATGTGAGGATGGTGTTAGGTGTAGATGGTGGTATATGTAAGGTGGGTGTTATGTGCACATGGTGGTATATGTGAGGATGGTGTTATGTGTAGATGGTGGTATATGTAAGGTGGGTGTTATGTGTACATGATGGTATATGTGAGGATGGTGTTATGTGTAGATGGTGGTATATGTAAGGTGGGTGTTATGTGCACATGGTGGTATATGTGAGGATGGTGTTATGTGTAGATGGTGGTATATGTAAGGTGGGTGTTATGTGTACATGATGGTATATGTGCGGATGGTGGTATATGTGAGGATTGTGTTATGGGTGTGGATTGTTTCATATATGCTGGTAGTGTCGTAAGTAGATTTGTATGTGTGGATGTTGTTATTTTTGTAGTGTAATATTTGTGTATAGTGTTTTATATATATATATATATATATATATATATATATATATATATATATATATATATATATATATATATATATATATATATATATATATATATATATATATATATATATATATCTTGCTGTTACATCTGAACCAAAATATATACGGTCGACGCGTACGAGAGAATTTGATCAGTTAACCCTGTCGTCCATATAAATAAAACAAACCAGAAATGACACACTTTTCCTGTTCTTGAAGCTAATTATTATTTTCTTCTACAAATGATAAACTGGTTTTCAAAAAAAAGAAATTTGTCATCACATTTTTCGACCCCCTTGTAATACGTGATAAAATATTAAACAGAGTCACTGGGTGCGATGTTTTGTGTTTCAGACCATCGGTTTGATCTTCCGTTGCTGAAAACGAGGTCGGTGCACTTTTTTTTTGTATGTATAGCTGTACAAAATAATATTTGTATCAAATGAGCAGACGACGAGCGCTGGTGGAGCAGATCTGAGACACAAATCACCGGATGTTGATGTTTGAAGCGGCCGCGAACCTACGCGAGTCAATATTGAAATTCTTGAGGCGATGCAAGGCACGGACTGGGCGGCTAATCCTACGTCGTCTGGTAGCAGACGTGAAGTCCCGCGGACATTTAACAAACCAATAGCTTAGACCTCAGACGACAAGTTTTGACCCCACGGGTCTAGAGCAGACTAGAATTGACGTCACAGAGATGCATGAACTTAAATTTAATTTAATTTAAGCATGTCAGAATAAAATAAGAATATCCTACATCTGGAGATGTAATATGTAAAGTTAAATAAACTACGCGACATTGATAAAAAAAATCAATTTCAACGATACTTGACAATAAAACAAAAACTGGTCCTTAAAAGACAACCAAAATTACAATTTTCTAACTGATCATTGATGCATTAGTATTTCAAAAAACATTTCCAGGTTTAAAAAAAAGAATACAATCGCATTTAATTTTATTTTTAAAAATTTAAGTTTCGTACAAGATATTACGAGGTGCGTGTTTGTAGAGCTTTACAGAAGGGAAACACATTGGCAGTTCAAGATCTAAACTAGTTCTGTGTGATTGACGCATCGTCTTGTTAGTTCACTACTCATCAGTGGGTGACTAACTTATATGAGGTGACGAATACAAGTCTAGACATGAGTAGTAGCTGTAGTGTTATACTCAGTGGCGTAGGAAGGGTTTTATTATGCGAGGGTTTCGACTTTCGCCCCCCCCCGTATATATAAATATATATATATATATATATATATATATATATATATATATATATATATATATATATATATATATATATATATATATATATATACGGTGTGGGAAATTTCACGATGGGCTATGTTCACGAGTTATATTTACTGAATAATGCTGAGGACATCTACCAGCTCTAATGGGTATCTGGCATAAGTTGGATATATAATGGCGACTGGGCATTATACTGGGCATATTATATCTTCTTATCATGGCTACGTATCTGATAATGTTAACTTCATCTTTCCCGATAGACGAAAAGGATTCGAGTTAAACTTTGGGTCAGTTTATCTCCAGTTTGCTTCAACACAACCCACACTTTACCTCACCCCAACCCACACACTACCACAACCCACATCCCATCCCAGAATTATATTTTACAACAGCACTGATCTCGAACTTACCACAAAGACTGTGAACCACACAATGAAATACAAGATGTAACCTGCGTCGAACTTTGGATTAAAGGATTACCCCCACCCTTCACCAAACCAGCAGTAAAAAAAAAAAACCACACCGAAATTTTCATTGAAACTGGCGGTAAAAAAAAATCAGACGCACACACAGTCCCACTGACTTCAGCAGTCCATAAAACTCGCTTCTTCTAAATGGTTCGCTTTGGGAAATGCAATAAGCCAGAAAAATTCAAGTTTGCTTCTTGTGTGGTCTTTGAAGGTATCTGAATGGTAAATAAATATTAAAGTGTTGCCAATAGAATGGGATTTCCCGATCTGAATCGAGCCCTTTGAAGCACCGTGTGACGACACTGAAAGATCGGCCAACAGTCCTTATTGAGCATTTGAACGGTTGCTGTTAACCCTTTTTATTCACGTTCAAGATCTTTCGGAGTTGTATTTAATACGGACTAAAGAAGGTGTGGGGGTGGGGGTCGGGGGAAGGGGGGTCGCGAAAACACGGGGGTCGCCCGATCGCATCCTTGTGCAGCGGTACGTAAGGGAATTGGTAATTAAAGAATAATAAGAAAAAAATTATCGTCTGCGTGTTGTTATTCACAACATCATGCGCATGCGTGAAGAGCAATTAGCCAATGGTGTGCAGGGGGAGGCAGGTGTGTGTGTGGGGTGGGAGGGGGGGGGAAGGTTGTATGTGTGGAGGGAAGGTTGTATGTGTGCGATGGTAAAGAGGAGGGTATATGTATTTGTGTGGGGTTTGTAAAGTGGTGGGCCAGAATATGGTGGAGGCAAAAATGGTTGAGCCGAAATGTGTGTGGTGTGCAAAAGTAGTTAGGCCAGAATGTGTATGGTGCAAAAATGGGGGGGGGGGATTTGTGGGGAGCAAAAATGGTGGACCAAAATATCTAACAGTGGTAAAATGGTAGGCTAACTCGTGAGGCTGTTAAATTACATCCCTTATCACAGTGAACCCCCAATATGCCCGTGTGTAAAAAAAATTGCTTATCACAGTAAACCCCAATAGGGTAGGAAAAAAAAAAAAAAAAAAAAAAAAAAAAAAAACTACTTTTACTCACAGTCTTTCCAGTTTGGTCATGGAGGCAAACAACAGATCTGGTAACGTCTTCAGCTCGTTCCGGTCAAGACGCCTGAAAGTGAAACATTATTTATTAAATAATTTTTGTTTGGAAAAAAAATAAATTAATTAATTAATTAGGCTGTCTATGACATACAGCACTAACATACAGCAGCACAGCTAGGCTGTCTATGACATACAGCACCAAAATACAACAGCCCAACTAGGCTGTCTATGACATACAGCACTAACATACAACAGTACAGCTAGGTTTTCTATTTTATTTCTATAAATATTTTATCTCTATAAAAACAGGAACACAAAAATACGTGTTTAAAACCGCATACTTTATCGTCACCATACACATACAATATGGGCACACATGTTCATACGAGATTAAAATTTTTCACTTTAAACAAGCCCACAGAGCCCTCGGCTTTAGCGTCGACGAGCATAAAAATAAAATTCTATTATATCTGACAAACAAACACACTTACAGACGCGATGGTTTCATGTTGAAATTTTACACGACGTCAAGACAGACATGCACCAAATTTTGAAAGATTACACCCCAGGGGATTAAGTTAGGCTCCATGTTTGGCTAAATTGCACCCTCCCCCCCCCCCTCCTCAACTCCTCAAGCAGGGTCTTGAATAAAGACCCTCGTAAGGGATTAGAGCTGTGTTATATAATACCTATATATATATATATGTAGGCCTACTTATGAATCAATGTAAATTCAACTTATTTGTTCTAGGCACAATAGAATGCTGAACATAAAACGCATTTCATGAAGAATAAATCTACTTTTACTAGCATCAACATATAAAATACTAAATTATTTAAGAAAAATATAGATAGCATATATAATGTGTATAGGGATACACATGTATAGAAAGTAAAAAAAAGGATTACTTAAATGTGTACACGTTGTTGCTATTAACCAGCGAGACATCACACGAACATCAAACAAAGCAAATTACACAATGGCATTTTATGTCTATGCTAACTCCCATCAAGCTTTGCTTGGGGTCAACAGTCTAGCACCGGAAACAGCTGCTGAAACGTCATCAGACCTTGAGACTAGAGAGACGGGTCGGCTCAACTACAGGTATACAACTGGTCCATGTTTGATGGACAAACTTTTTTTTCTTTTCCTTTCTTTTTTTTTAGAACAGCTCATTAACGATTCCAATGTATTCAGAATTCCATTTTCCCAGCCTGTAAGTAATGACATGGTTCGTTGATTTCACCGTACAGCGTGAGTGCGCACTGGTCACGCGTGAATTGTTTTTATTTTTTAATTGTTTAAAAAAAAAAAACTTCATATTTTTTTACCTGACAATTATCTTAAAGGGACTGTGTTGGCACGTTGTTAGGTAGTGCCTCATCGGACGTGAGCACGTTTTTAATTCATGTCTGACCACATTGTCCACCTCCCTGCATGACCATGCATTTGACAACACATTTGATCACAACTTTGAACACCAATTGACCACACATTGACCATACATTTCACCAAACCTTTGACCACCCATCTCGAAATCGACCATCTGTTCGAAAAAATCGCAAATCTAAAACTAGGTTAAACCTAAATCCTCTAAACCCTTCAAACATTACTGCTAGTACAACCCCTCTCCTCGTACAACCCAAAATTCAAATCTTATTTTAATACAACCCCTCTTACAACCCTTCCCTCGTACAACCCAAAAATACAAACCTTCCCCTAGTATAACCCCAAGTACATACCCTCCTCTAGAACACCCATACAACCACCCTCTCCTAGTTCCTCCAGTGCCTCACAGAAGCACCAACCCGCCAACCCACATCTCACCGTCATATATTCATCTCACCTACCACGTCTGGCAAATCAATTCTACCTGCCCAACCTGCCTCCACTAAAATAAATTCCTCCCGTGTATAACATCCATGTTTATTTGCTTAAAATTGTGGCAGTTTTTTTTAAACAATAAATAGAACGACATTTCTATAGTAAAAACACTTAAAACATCCCGAATAATCTTAACTCTTTGGTTAAAACTTTAAAAATTTGCAACGTCAAGTAGCGACTAGACATTTTTTTTCGCGCCTAGATAAAAAAAAAAACGCGAATAAAAAGATTGTAAAGAAAATAAGATGCGCGCTAACAGATGTGAAGACGTGTGTCTCCACACGTGAAGGCATGAATGCGTGTCTTGGGATTATCAGAAGACCTCACCAACGGTCTCGGTTAGAGATTTATAGACCATCAAACCCAGCACCACCGGCCGTGTTTATGCGTCGTGTACAAACAATGCAGTGTGGAAAGCCAGGAAAACGATCGAGATTTGGATAAGTTTTATAGCTGACACAACAGTCAGGTAGCTATCAAGGTAGTTCTGTTGTAGAGAGGAGGGAGGGCATGGGACGTTTCGGATTGACTGGAGTTAAGTTTAGACAAAAAAAATGTATGCTTAGACTTATACAATTACATTATTGTAATGCAAGAAATGATTCATATTTTTCGTGAAGATTTATTTCTTTTTAAAAAGGAATGCAATGCTTAGATTTTAGCCATGCTTAAGGTAAATAAGACATACAAAAATAGCGTCTACTTTGTACGTGTACTTAGTTGCACTTTATTTGTTTCGGATATTTAATTTTTTTTAGATCAACTTTACAAACATGTGAACTGTTTACATAAACCAACATGGCCATAAGAATATAATTCTTCTTATTGAGTCCCTTTTGTTGAATTCAGTACGATTAGCGAAGAAGTATTTTTTCTTTTATTCATTTAAATTACGGTCAACAAGAGTTGAGATTTTAATACATGGGTATACATTTGATAATCTCTGTCCAAACAATTGGGGCAATCATAGCGAGTCCATGAAAAACATTCTGGGCCCACGACCAAATGTTACAGTGAGTGACCAAAGAATAGTAATTATTTAAATATAATGAGAGCGGTCAATGCTATCATGACCGTTGACAAACAAGCATTAAGTGGTATATCTATAACATTTTATACGGAATATATATATATATATATATATATATATATATATATATATATATATATATATATATATATATATATATATATATATATATATATGACTGTATGTCATAAGTAGGCCATCGCTCGCTCGTGGCCCCATGCACGTGTCCATTGCCTCCACCAGTCATAATAAAATTGTCCCAGTCAAAACAAAACAAAAGCAGGTTGACTCACGTGTTGACATAACTAAGCCACGTACTCATCCTGCACGTGTTGACATAACTAAGCCACGTACCCATCCTTTGTGCTGTGGTGGTCAGCAGACACTAGCTCTATTGTTTTGTCAGGCGGAGGTTCGTTCACGGCAATGTTTTGGTATACCAATACACACGTCAAGTCTGGTCTGGTTTAAACTATCTCTAAAGTCTGTCCCCCAACTATCTTTAAAGTCTGTCCCCCAACTATCTTTAAAGTCTGTCCCCCAACTATCTCTAAAGTCTGTCCCCCAACTATCTTTAAAGTCTGTCCCCCAACTATCTTTAAAGTCTGTCCCCCAACTATCTCTAAAGTCTGTCCCCCAACTATCTCTAAAGTCTGTCCCCCAACAATCTCTAAAGTCTGTCCCAACAATCTCTAAAGTCTGTCCCCCAACTATCTCTAAAGTCTGTCCCCCAACTATCTCTAAAGTCTGTCCCCCAACTATCTCTAAAGTCTGTCCCCCAACTATCTCTAAAGTCTGTCCCCCAACTATCTCTAAAGTCTGTCCCCCAACTATCTCTAAAGTCTGTCCCCCAACTATCTCTAAAGTCTGTCCCCAAAGTATCTCTAAAGTCTGTCCCCAACAAGTATGAACCCAACATAAAGTTTAGTACCAAACTTTCCACTGCCCAAGGACACACATCACAAATTTCTACATGTTTCAACTATGTCGTGCAAAGAAATCTTTAAAAAATAAAACACAACAAAACAACAACAAAACAACAACAAAACAACAACAACAAAGCAACAACAACAACACCAGCGACAACAATCCACTTGAAGCCTCAAACATTGACGCTGATGCTCTAAGACTCTAAGACCTTGCCCAATGATACACAACTAACGCTAGACAGTTTGGATTACTAAGGGAGATAATCTCACTGAAGCAACTTTGCTTTTATTAGAGTCAAAATGTATAATGTATTAGAATTTTCTATAAAGATGAAAGAAACAGCTGTTTGGGATTTCCATTATTCACGAGCCAGATGTTAGCGTGATGTCGCTGAGAAGAGAATACAAAATTTTCTAACACATTGGGACAAAATCTAGGTTGGTCTTCAGTACTTCAATGTGTTTGTTTGAACTAGCTAGTTTGGCGTAGTTTTCTAATTCTATCCCAAAATTTGACAGGTGTCGCTATCCTCAGGGGTTATCGATCCTGCACCATGGACTACTTCTCACAGAAAGTATACCAGATGTTCTATCGACTTGACCACCGACGGCAATTCATATTTCATTGGTTTGTTGTTATTAAGGTTTTTTTTTTTTACAAGAAAGCAACTCCTGGTAAAACTGACATTGAACGTGGGGAATTGAATGTAAAGGGCACTTTGGTACCATTTGCGATAATTCTAGAATAAAATAACAATAATAGAACCCAACATTCCATAAACATCTTAACCGAGGCAGGCGAGAGGAAGATGACACGATAAATTTTCCGAGGGCCCGGTCAAAACACCACCCACTCACGCGCGTGAAAGACTTGACCCCCCATCAAACGGAACCGAGTTTCTACTCACACTCCGGACCTCAGCAGAACAAACACTGACCCCATCAAGCGCCTGCCCGCCCGAGCATTGCTCTACTGGCACCAAACTTCGCCGGGAGATGGCGCTAATGACACGCCATCGAAAGGGGGGGGGGGTAGAGAAGCCGATCAAAGGCGGTGAAATTCTCGTCTGCGACGGCGAAATGATCAGACGACTCGGACGTAGGTCTTTGTCCGGGACGTTGTAGTTTTAACAGGGCGATTCATGGGTGATATCTTTAACGATGTACAAATATATGTATGTATGTATGTATGTATGTATGTATGGAGGTAGGTGTGTGTGTATATAAGTGTGTGAATGTGTGTGTACGCGTGTGAGACCTGCACATCCACCAGGCAGTAATATGAGTCCATTGCAACTTTATTTTTAACAACAGTAGGTGAACAAATAGTTCCTTTGAGCAGATATATAAATTTTAAAGCCATTCAAGAGGGAATTCAACGATCTGCTTCTAATGAATGTATTGACTTTTCGACTAAACCCTTTCAGGGAGTAGACTAAAAGTGTAATATGAATCAAGAAAAGTTTCTTTATATTTTTATTTTATTTTATTTTTGCTTTTTCGTTTACAATCTAAATCAAGTTTTTAAACTGTCATCAGAAAATATACTTAAAAATAGTTGCAAAAAAATAAAATACACAATATAATTTTAACGTTTTTTTTTAAATTTATACTTTCATAGAAGATCTAGTTTAAGGAAAAGTTAAATAAAAATGACCAATTTTAATTTTTGGTTGCTATAGGAAAAGTTTATTTTCATTTCGGAATAATATATATATATAAAAACAACTGTTACCAGTTTATTTTTTGTTGGCACATTATGGGTATGTTTTTTTTTATAACTTTGGTGTAATAGAAAAATCTGGCAAATTTATTTTTTTGTCGGTACAGTAAGGTTATAAAGGGACAATACTCACAATCGTATCACCGAAGAGAGATCTTGGAACGCCCCCTTCTCGACACTTTCGATCTGATTATCCAACAGCTGCCTAAAAAAAGGGGGAAAGAAGTTACATTCCACAAGTCTGACAACTCTTGTATTTGTTTTACACATCTGTTTTTGTAAACACTGCACACGTAAGTGGAACACAATTTTGTTTTAAATAAAAAAATACTTCATGAAATAAATGAAGCAATTGATATTGTTAGTCTATATGGATTGAATTTTGACCAACGTTTACTTGTCGTATTTTGATTAAAAAAGCAAATTGAAACACACACATTCAGAACACAGAAGATAAATCACCTGCACAGTGTGCAAAAACTAAGTTAAAAAACAGCCAAACAACCGGTATCAGTCTAAAGTACATTCAATCATCGCATACTACGAATGTGGGTATTGCGAATCTGGCTACCAACAGTTCGATGATCTATTTACACACAGAAATACACCACCATCATGAACTGGTCGCTTGCGGGTGGATCTATTTATTTAACACTGGATTCAGACAATTCTCTAAAAATTATCCTTGAAATAAAAACCTCAAGTACTTGACAGTGGAATAGGCCTAGAACAAAGTATCATCTGCTTGAAATCACTGTCCCTCAGAGAAATACAACTCGGCTAAACCCAACAGAAGCAAACATGTATCGTCTTGTATTGTCATTTTTTGTTTTATATACAAAAGAGATTCTTGATAAACTTACACTATATACGCTTATAAAAAAAACACCTAATTACATGTAACATTGTATTCCCTTATGCTTTTAAATAGATTACACACACTCACACTCACACGCACACACACACATACACATATGAAGGACATGATACATTTCCAGAATACAGAAGAAAATGTAACAAAAAAATACTAAATATATTTACTGTAGTTAAGACAAAAGCGGATATTTGATTTATTTATATATATAACAAATATATAACTGAAACTTGATGTATTAAACACAAAATATGATAATATTAGGCGTATCTATCAGTTGTATTATATTTGAGTTTGTGAAACGTTATTAGTAGAAGACTTGATGCCACGATAATTGTGAAGACCCATTCAATGCGTCAGTCGGACAGAACAATGTTTGTTTAGTTAACGACAGCTAGCCAGGATTTAAATCGGCTGTTGTACTGGAAATAGCCGGACCCACGTAGATAACAGCGCGGGGGGGGGGGGGGGGGTGACCTCGTCAAGTCTTTGTCTGGAGGGCTGACCAGAACAATGGGTCGTAACTAGACGCGTGGGTGGGGGTGGGGTGGTGGGGGTGGTGGGGGGGGGGGGGAGGTAATTATGTTGGTCAAGTCCTGGCTGAGTTCATGTAACCGCCACAGTCACCTGACACCATTATGATCTAACCGTAAACCAATACACCGGGCAGTCCATAGACTGACCAGTCACGTGACTTGCGGAACTAGACCCCCCCCCCCCTTCCCCGCCAACATAGCGGAGTCTAGCGGTATGGTTATTCCACCCCTGCGTGCGTTGGTTGATCAGAGCCTTATGTAATACTTCGCCTCTATTAGCAAGTTATCCTCGGCTTATGAATGAGTAGAGTATATGAATTTGAAGAATCGCTATTACTCACTGTTTGATGGATTATTATATTTGGTTATTATGGTGATTAAAGCACATGATTGAGATTAACTATATCGTACTTACAGAATTCGTAAGTTGGATAATCCCTGAAGGTCAGTCTTGCGAATAACCGTTAAATTATTTCCTTGAAGGTCACTGCAACGAAAAAAAAAGAGAATTTAAAAAAAAATATAAATACATCAGTAAAAAATATAAACACATTATTGTTAATTTTCAAATGTAGTTACGATTGTGATTTCAGTAAACATTCTGCGTGAGCACACAGACGCACAGACAACCATACAAATCGTATACAGTCTGCGTATGTGTGACCATATATGGACATGTTTACTAACCAGTGTAGTTGTAGCTCACGTGCAATAATATAACTGTGTATGAGCACTCTCAATTGTTATTTTATCCCACTTTTATATGCCATATATATATATACGGCATATATTATATAAATATAAATATATATAAATATATATATATATATATATATATATATATATATATATATATATATATATATATATATATATATATATATATATATATATATATATATATATATATATACATACATATGGGAATAGATGATGATGGTACAAATATTCTAACAATGGCGGAGGGTACGTAGAACATTTTGAGAGTCATTGTTTTTTAGGGCCTTCATTTAAGCTTAACCAATCGGGGGTAGAGGGGAGTGAAACACACGTTTGAGAACCACTACCCAAGACAATTGACGATGAAGAACCCCCTACCCGGAGACAATAAATCCCCGCAACTCAAATGCCAGAGTCCAATGGTCGTGGTAATCACAATCCCCAACCCCAATTCTTGGTCCTGGAACTCTGAATTTCCTGCCCCCCCCCCCCCCCACATACTTTACCCCCCTCTCCCCCGATACGGAACACCAGCAAATAAACGAGATCAAACAGACCGGCTGATCTAGCGAGCTTTGACCGCAGGAACCTACTTCCAGAGCTACTTATCAGGTACCAAGACTACATATGGCAGCGAGTAACAGCATAAGGGAACGATAACTCTGTAACGGGAGATAATTCTATCAAGATTTCTTAGTAGCTTGGCTCGGCTTAAAAACTTCAGGCTGGTATAATGACAATTTACAGTCGAGATTTTTGTTTATGCGTGCAGTCTGCCGAATGATTTCTCGTATTTTTAGAATTTTAGGTTAGACGTTAAATAAAACGAATATTACGTTTCTATTTTTTTTTCTTTTGAAAAACAATAAGCAAAATAAAAAAAAATGTGTGTTTTGAACAGTTGTTAAATCATTAATTCAGATTAAAATTTATTTAATTAATCTCAAATATAAACAACTAGGCATGCTGCCCAGCTTCGCTTAGGCTTTCGAAAACATTGAGAATTTGAATGCTTAATTAATTCGCCCGAAGGTCGGTCTACGACCTCAAGAGTTATGAAGAGGTTCCTCCGTGGACATTTTTTTTCGATTTATAGCTCATATAAGGTACCGGTCAGTCGAGGTCAGTTTTGACCCCCACATCGTAGACTTTTCGGCCAACCGGCCCCCGTGATCTGTCGCACCAAGGCAAGATCATGCCAAATTTGAAGCGCCTGCGGCGCCGGGAAGTGCCCTATCGGACACCCGACAATCTAGATCTAGATCTAGATTCCTAAAAGAATTTTTTTTTTAAGTTTAGCCCGAGCATAATAAAAAAGAATACATTAACCAAGTTGACTTGCTGTGTCTCGAACCCGCACCACCTTATAAAATACGGAGAATGAAAGACGTATTTTAAAATCTTAACTTACGCGAATATGCCTATTCTTTCAAATTAATTTTTTATCCCAAATTAGCCAGTTCCAAACAAAGATTTTGTATAAAATAAATAAGTCTTGAAATAGTTTAGTCCTAATATAGAAATTTATTTTTGGAATTGATTTTAGAGAAGTTAGAGTCTAAATCTAGATCTTAGCGTCTACGTCTAGATCTAGTTATTGCGTAGATTTAGATTTAGATTTAGTCTAGATCTAGAATCTCTAGATCTAGAATCCAAATACATAAAATAAATTTTATGAGTTTAGGCCGGAAAAATTGTATTGTATACATTTCATAGTGTAGGCTACGTAGATCTAAATCAAATTTGAATGAAATAGTTCATTTCTTTTCATTCAAAACACGGCAGATGACGTCATTAGTTAATGTATAAGCAATAGTGACGTCACAGTTTTATGCGTTCTTTTTCACATATATTAATGCTTTTCCGGTTGCATAAATAATACTGTTTCTCTACATTCGAATACGCCTTAAATTTTTATTTTTCTTCTTTAAATAAAATTGTGGTTATACATTTAAAACATCTAACATATTATTTTCAACAAAAGTCCGTAAAAAATTCTCGATATATCGCTGCCGATTCTGACGTGATGTCCGGCGAAAATTTTTTGCGGACAGAGAAAGAGAGAGAGAGAGAGAGAGATGTGCGCACATTGGGCTTTTATAAATTAGTATTATAAAATGGTTCTCATTGATAATGAATCCCCTCTTTCCCGTTAACTTGGTTTTCTTAATTGCTCGCGTGAATTTAAAAAAGTAAATCTGGATATTTAGAACTTTTTTGGATGATGAGTGCAGTTTAACGACGAGGTAACAGTTAATTTATCTTAAAGCTAAGTGGTTATAAAATCTTTAAGAGCTAAGTGTCCTTACTCGGCTTCATTCGTTAGGAGCTTAAGTACGGCCGTTTTACAATTTTTTAAAAGATAAAAAAAAGTCATATTTATTACTAAAGAAACTAAACACTAATGTTTAAAAGTGAATGGAAAAATGACAACAAAACACCATTGTTAACTATTGAATGCTAGCAAAACAACAACAAAAAAAACAAAAACAACACCGTTATTGGCTACTGAATGTATAAATAAGAGCAAAACATCTTTGATACCTAATGCATGTTTCAACAAGAACAAAACACCATTGTTAACTACAGAATGTATAAAGAAGAACAAAACACCTTTGTTACCTAATGAATGTTTCAACAAAAACATAACACCGTAACTAATAAAAAAAAAAGTTTAAAAAAAATCAAAAGCCATAAACAAAATAAGAACCGGCTGGCGAAAACAACACATGCTTACGTCATTAATCTAATCATCTTTAATCACGTGACCGCCAAGGTGGAATTACATTGACCTGGAATACCACCTGCCGACTACCGGCATCCGATTTCCCCCGTGGCTCGCTCTAAAAAGCTGCAACCAAGAAATAGTTCCAGTACAGCCGGCACCAGGGGGTCCAGATAGCGGCGATGTAAAACAAGAATCTAAAACAGCGCTCACACAGGCGTTCGTAGGTGTTTGAATACGGGGACTGGCTAAAGACAGAAGTTCGATTCATGGGGACCGTGGCAAGGGGAGGGAACCCGAGTCTACGGTGGGATAACTCAATAATACGCCAGGGGGAGATAGACATGATGGGGAGAAATTACATCATCTTTATGTCCCCTCGTAGCTTTCCTGTTGTTGGTTATCTCATAGCTAGGCGCGGAGTTGGGTGGGTGATAAAATAAAGTTGTTATCAAGGTGGGGGGGGGGGGGGAGAGTTTGTGTGAGGGGGGGGGGGGATGACGATGTACGTAGGTTCTAGTTGTAAATTGTGTAAGTTAGTAGGTAGATAGAAACATTTACAGACAAGTAAAAAAAAAGTTGATGTCTGGTTCGGTCTTGGGCGGATCCGAACCCGAGACTCCCATAAACAACTTCTCTCGATAGAATTATGGGACCACATCTCGTGACTGATGCCACGTCGAACTACTGAATCAAAGCTACCATGTACCAAGCGGCGACTTTGACTTGGCGCAAACAGTCTTACAAGCCGTGACCAAGTAGACAATACCTGACAGTTCTAATAAAGTAAACAATAGCTGATAGTTCTAATAAAGTAGACAATATCTGATAGTTCTAATAAAGTAGACAATACCTGATAGTTCTAATAAAGTAGACAATACCTGATAGTTCTAATAAAGTAGACAATACCTGATAGTTCTAATAAAGTAGACAATACCTGATAGTTCTAATAAAGTACACAATATCTGAGAGTTCTAATAAAGTAGACAATATCTGAGAGTTCTAATAAAGTAGACAATATCTGAGAGTTCTAATAAAGCAGACAATATCTGATAGTTCTAATAAAGTAGACAATAGCTGATAGTTCTAATAAAGTAGACAATACCTGATAGTTCTAATAAAGTAGACAATATCTGATAGTTTTAATAAAGAAGACAATACCTGATAGTTTTAAGAAAGTAGACAATATCTGATAGTTCTAGTAAAGTAGACAATATCTGAGAGTTCTAATAAAGTAGACAATATCTGATAGTTCTAATAAAGAAGACAGTACCTGATAGTTCTAATAAAGTAGACAATATCTGAAAGTTCTAATAAAGCAGACAATAGCTGATAGTTATAATAAAGCAGAAAGCTGTTAATACTTCTAATAAAGTAGACAATACCTGATAGTTCTAATAAAGTAGACAATACCTGATAGTTATAATAAAGCAGAAAACTGTTAATACTTCTAATAAAGTAGACAATACCTGATAGTTCTAATAAAGCGGACAATAGCTAATACTTGAAATAAAGAAGAAAACTGTTCTACTTCTAATAAAGCAGACAATAGCTCATACTTCTATTAAGGCGGACAATAACTCATACTTCTAATCTAACAATACTTGTATTTATTTTTATAACACACGGCTATCGTTAATGCGAATGGTATATTTGTTTTATATGTATAAAGTTTGTTTATAGGAAAAGGAAAAGCAACATACTACTACATATTTCTTAACGATTCAGCTATTTTTGAATAAATAAATCAAGTTAGTTTAAAAACAATTTACTACTTTCCCTATCAAGTAATTAAGACTTATTTACTAAATAGCAATATGAAATTAAAATAAATTACGTTATATAAAGAATGATTTAAATTCTTAGCTATTTTCTTATTAATCTAAAAAAATCTATTTAAAAAGTCGTTCTCTTTTTTACGAGAACACATTAATTATGAATTAATATCGGCAATTATTAGGCGTGTCTGTCTTTTATCATCGTGTCCGACTAATTAAATTAGTTAATTTGAGGGCTTTTAATACGTCCAGCTGGTAGCCTGT